CCATGAGAATAAATATCAATTAGGGTTTTTTGGATACTTTATTTAATGTCCCTTTTAATTTTTGTAATATGTGTTTTCTTTTATGTTGTACACCACCCCGAGTCCTTGGGAGAAGGGCAGAATATAAATCCAATAAACCTAACCTAACCTAACCATTGCTCTGGGTGAAGCAGTCTCTGGAGACAAGAGACCATGTTGAAAGATATATATGTTGATTTATGTACCTCCAGATTTCTGGACATGTCCTGACAGGAAGGATCACAATCTTTATAGAACCATATCCCTAGGGATGCATCAGTGATTTCTCACTAACATGTTTTTCTCCCCTGCACATGGAACTTTGAAGAAGGTTTAGGATCCCAGGAGGAGAAGTCGCTTCTCAGTGTAATTATATCACTATCCAAATCTTTGAGACTTCTGCTGCTTCCCCAGTGGTTGTAAACATCAGAAGGAAGGTGTCTGGATAAATGCCACAAGTCACATTCAGGGTGGTCCACATTTTGGAGCAAACAGGGGTTGCGTTCTTTAAACGTGCTGTCTCTGCTTTCCAGACGAAACTCGGTTTGTCTCTTTTTGAACCAGGAAAGTCACTGGATAGTCCAGCTTATGAGAGTTCTTTAAATTCTTTTTCTTTCGAAAGAGGAAAGGGATTGATTCAGCCCCATAAAATATGGAGCTTCTCTTTCTGGTTCCAATGCTGTTGGTGTGCCAACTGGTCTCTGTGAAGCTACAAACAAAGTGCCCGCTGAACCACAAGCACCAGGATGGAGAGAAACCATGGAGCTATTATAAGCTAGGAGACCATCTCATTAGTATAGTCATCAGCGTATCGACCATATCGCCTATCATGTTGAGTTTTAACGTGACTCCTTCTGCTCAGTCTCACATGTAAGTCATTCAGAGTGGCATTTCCCCCATTCGTAATTCTAACACTCTCATTCTTTTCTTCTTGTTCACTGGCTCCTATGCAAGGAGTCCTTGACTTTCAAACAGTTCTTTTAGTAACCGTTCATAGTTACAACACCACTGGAAAAAGTGACTTGTGATCATTTTTCACACTTACGGCAGCATCTCTGAGGTTCCCTAATCAAAATTCAGACTCTTGGCAACCGACTCTCGTTTATGACAGTTGTACTGTCCCGGTGTGTGTGTGTGTGTGTTGTGATCCCCTCTTGTGCCCTTCCGACAAGCAAAGTGAATAAGGAAGCCAAATTCCCTTAACAACCATGCTGCTAACTTAACCAGGGCAATGATTTAACAACAACGGTGGCAAGAAAACTCGTAAAATGGGGGCACAACTCATCTAACAAAACATCTCATTTAAGAACAGAAAGTCTGGGCTCAATTGTGCTTGTAAGTTGAGGACTAACCTATATTGCAGGACCTAATTTTTTTTTGAACGGTTTTGATTCTTATGGCTTCTTTTATTTTGTGTAAGAGACACAAATCCAAAGTTGGAGCGGAAAAAAATATATCCTGAAATAATTTCACATTATTTGCCACGCCCNCAATTTATTCACAGTAATTAACATACGGACAAGACTTTGGCAGCAACCCAGACTTCCACAGATAAGAAATACACACAAGAGCTTCTCCAGCTTTAGTATATTGGTTGTGTCTTGTAAACGTTCTCCTCCCAAAGTCTCTTCTTATATACTCTCTTGGGAGGAGCCTAATCACAACCACCTGGCCCCAATGATCTTCTATATCTCTGTAGTTGCTGCTGGCACTTATTTGCCCGTCTTTGCCTGGCATCCGGGACCAACTCCCTTAGCTCCTCCCCACTGCTCCAGGGCCTGACGTCCTCACCACTGCTCCAGGGCCTGACATCAGGGACAAACTCCCTTTGGCTTTCACCACTGCTCCATGCCTCAGGCACCTCCTGGTGGCCAACCAGCCTCTCTGATCCCTGCTTGGAATCGGAACCCTGTCCAGGGTCCTCCACATCTTCCAGAGCCGACTCATAGGGCCCCTGGCTGTCGGAGTCTGTTTGCATCTCCAACGGCTCCTGCTGGGCCACAACAGTTAGACTTCTGTATTTTGGCTAGGGATACACGAGCGTGACATAACTCTCCGTCCAATCATATCATTATAGGGGACCCCTATATACAACAATGTAAGATAATTAACAAAAAAAGCTTGGGCACCTCACAAGAGGAAGCAAACACTCCATAAATTCTCCACAACAACAAACAAAAGCAAGAAGAAATGAAGCTTTGACTGTGAAATCTTACAGAGTTCTGAAGTTTTAATGGACTTTAAGACAATGGTTTTGAACAAACAAGAAAACAGGCTCTACTCGTAACATTAGGCCAAATTCAATGGCACTGATTGCTCCCTTGGCATTCGATGAGAGGCAGTTCTAGAACAGAATTTTTTATTGTCCAAAGGTGATTGGACGTAGAAGAGATTTGTCTCTGGTGGATAAGCTCTCAGTGTACATACAAGCAACAAGTGATAAATCAGGGTCATAATCATAAGCTACAATCGTCATAAGATGCAACACTCAATGATAGTCATAGCACACAAAATAAACAACCAATATAAATCGTACTAAGATGCTAAATAAAGCAATCAACATAAATCACAAGATACATGCAACAAAGATAGTCATGAGAAGATAAGGAAATAGGTAATAGAAAAGATGAGAAGGATAATAGAGAGCCAAGTGCCACCAATCTAGAGTGGCCAACAACTCCATTATCGTAATCCCCGACCTCCGGCCCTTCCGACACGCCCTAAAAAGTTGGCTTTTCCAGCAAGCTAGCCTGGTCTGAATAGAATAAAATATAGGATTAATTTGGTTGTTAATTTGGTATAGTCATAAGAGCCAAGGTGGCGCAGTGGTTAAATGCAGCACTGCAGGCTACTGCTAGATCAGCAGTTCAGCGGTTC